ATGTACTTAGAGCTTTAGCAGCGTATGCTAGACAGCAAAAGCTGACTACAGAGTACTGAGCACCACAGGGATGCCAAGGGGGAGACATGAAGGAGAGAGGGGGGAGGCGAGGAAATAGAGGAGGGAGTAAGGGTGTGACAGAGGAGCTTCCATTACTAAACAGAGAGAACATTAAGAAGATTTAATTTGCCAAATGACACTGTAGTGAAGCACATTCCATTAGTGCAATACATCTCTGAATATTTAGGTCTAACTCATTCCAGCTTCTTTTTTCTGCTTCTTCTTCCCACCCTCAAACTTTTTGGCTTAGACCCCTCCTCTGTGCCAGTTTTATTTTTATTACATAATATTGCAGATGAAAGAACATGGAGGCTGTGCGAGCTTTGTTTCTCTCGGTTGCTTCAGTCCTCCTTAAAGCATCACCACGCAAAACACATGTGAGAAACTCAAATAAGCAAATAAGCTATTATTTATGCTCACAGTCAAAAATGAATGGAACACAAGCAAAATCTGTTTGTTTTTGTTGTTTTTTTTTCATGACTCGCACACATAATTGTTGAAATCAATGTAGTATGTGATTAACATCAAAGCTAAGTTCARGAACAGGGCTGCGGGATGGTGTTAAGTGCACACAGAAACAGAAGAGAAGAAAAAAATTTAAAAAAAAACTACCACTAACCTCTTATAAGTACAAGTAGTACAAGTAGTAAATTTCATCAGATATCGTGTAAAAAGTAAGTAAAAACACAATGCAATGATTTGCGAATCTTACGTTTAAACAAAAATAAATAAATAAAAAATCAAATTGAAGAACATTTTTACAAAGTCTGCTGTTTTAAGTTGCTGTTTTTCTCTACTTTTGACAAATTTAGTTTCTCAAAAACACTTTTATATCGACTTCCTTCTCACATGTTGCTAATTACCCTAATTAGTTGCAAAATGCTCTTCCAGCTGTTTATTTTTCTGCTTACTTTTGCAGATTTTTGTTTACTCCATCCCACTTTAAGTTGTYTTGATGCCACACAATTCCGAATTGTTATAATTTTATTATTTTTTTCTCTCTAAAATGATAACGTTCTCAGTTAAAACATCTAAAACTACCATGTAACATATAACTGTGGAGGGGAATTTAAAGAGAACCAGCAGCTTTAAGTAGAGATGCAAAGAAAAGTATTTAAAGATACATTAAAGGCGAGTCATACTGAGATTTGAGAGGGYAAAAAAATGCCTGGAGCGTGAGTAGTCTTGGCTTTTTTGTTCGCCTTTGGCTAAAAGTGGTGGGAGGTTTTCTGGTTTTATTCCAGCATAACTGTTAATCCTTTAATAGTGCTTAATAACCTGATGGCACTAATTAGAGCTTTGGAAACTCCATGAAAAGCAACTCTAAAATTCATCTGGAGACAATCATAAAAAGTAGTGTAAAAACTCCTTTTAGACACAGAAGTGTTGATTTTTTTTTTACCAGTATGTATAAACAAAGAACAATAAGACAATGGTAAAACATTAAGATAGTCTGTTGCTACGGATATAGATGAATTTGAAAGATAATTGATTAATTTTGTTTTCTTCTATTACTTTCGTCTCTCGTTCTCTTGCAGTTTTTCTCCCTAATAGTGATGAAGGCTTGACATGGCAGCAGGCCTGCTCTCTTAACCAGCTTATGTAACCATGCCCTGGCAGTTTGGAGGATGTGCTGACAACAAGCTTTCTCAGCGTCATTAGCAGAGTTACACAGCTGGCTTCAAAATAGAGGCGGGGGGAGGGGGGGATACTAAGAGCTAAAGAAGAGAGAGAAAAGGAATATTGGAGAGAAAGTGTGACTAGAGAAGTTGGGTTTGAGGTTGGAGGGGAAAAATAGCTGGGGGGGGGGCTTCCCCTCTGGGACCTCCAGGAGGTCTTTCCCAGTGTTCCCAGTAGACACATTTTGTCTTTGTTCAGTTTTAACTGCAGCAATGCAGCAGAAGAAAAATCTATCTTTTTCTTCCCTTTGTCTCAAAGGACATGAAAGAAAAAAAAGGAGGCGTTGTTTTTCACCTCATACCGCTTGCTATCATACCTGACATCAAAATCAACAGAGCAACAATTCGCATGCAAATACCAGCCCCCCCTCTGTTCCGAGCACAGATTAGGAAAACAGCAACCTTGCATCGCAGACCTCGAACAACGTCGGGGAAGACACGTGAGATAACGCGAGCACATCAAACGGAGACGGAAAACCGCAAAGCAGGAGAAGCTGTCAGTCAAAACGTCTGAACTGTGGCACCCTGTGAGGATCAAACAGAGCATCAAGATAATCCACCGCATGGGCCAACTTCTCATTTAAATCCTTATTCGCACTCTGCAGAGACTGCGACTTGCAGGGAGCGCGTAAAGCGCAGTCAACAAATCTTTTTTTAATATAGATTTGGTTACGAGGCTGCCTTGTATGTAAACACGGGTTCAATCAGTCGCCAAAGTCTTTCTGCTGCTACAAGAAGCAGCTGTTTCTGTGGGTGTTAAGAGGTGTGTAGACATTAGCAATTAACGAGGGAGAAAACTGGCAAAAACTTGATGGGGTAAATCTAAAATATGACCACAAAAACTTTATGTAAGYAGTTTTTTTTATGTTGTTTGAYCCAAAATAAATAACTCCCATTAAAAACACACACATACCTGCACACTTATATTTCTTTTCTGCTCAGTTTAGTAGAAGCTTGGCAGCTGCCGTGTGTTTATGAGCTGGTATTCGAACACAGAATGATTGGTGGAAATCCCAGTCCACTGAGAGCTCCCAGCTCAGAGCCTGGATAAACATCCGGCGGGCACGGCACAGAMGCAGACAGGGAAGGTAAAAAAAAATTAAATTGGGAAAAGACTGGCTGCACATTTCCAATACTCGAATCYTTTCAACCACAGCTGAACAAAAAGCACAACGCCCACCTTTTCCTGAGGGAATGTGCTGCGGRAGCTTGGGGCCTCATTTACAAACGCTGGCACAACTGAGATTTAATTAAAGGCCTGGAAATCCTTCAAAAAATCTTTCWGAAAGTTTTAATAAAATCCACCTGGTGGTTGAGGATATATTTTGCTAACAGGCAGACAGAATGCTTAAAGAGTAACTTACCCCAAAATTAACTTTTTTTAGCTGACAAACTGTCTAGAATGTGTCTAAAATGTTATATAGTACAATTTCTGTGCTAATTTTGATGTTTTTGTGTGTATTTGTTCAAATCTGTAATACTTGGTCTAAAAACGTGTTTTTGTTGCTCATATGGGTAGAGCAGTGGTACTGCAGGCTAATTTGCATATTGGTTAACAGCTCTCCGCTGTGACGTGCTTCTCCACGGTTTCGTCACAGCGGCTGTGTTCTGGTATAAAAGCCTCTCTCTAAGACACGCCCCTGCAGCAGTCAGAGGGTGGAACAGTTAGCAAGCTTAGCATGATCGTCTATTGACCTTCAGCCTCGGGTGGGGAGAGCTGACTGCTGCGCTGCTTTCTCTCTCCACACACACACACACACACACACACACACACACACACACACACACACACACACACACACACACACACA